GAAATAAGGCAAAGCTGCAGGTGTAATGTAAAGGTTAAGAATGAAAAAACCTGATAGAATTCAGAATGTAGAATGGCGATAGCTGGAAGAGGGCAGGGAACTGATCTAGAAGCATAGAGGTTAACAGTTGGAAGAGATCTGAGGAATCATCTTCACTAGTGAGTCTCAACTTTGGCTACACATTGGAAATATGAGAGCTTTTAAATAATACACTTGCCCAGGTCCCACAAGACCAATTAAGGCAGGGTCACTGGGAATTAGGACTGGAGAGAGCATTGGTATATTTTAAAGGTATATTTTAAAGGTTCCCCACTAATTGTAACCTGCAGCAAGCGTTGGGAACCACTGGCCTAATCCACCTCCCTTATTTTTTGTAGGGGTCCAGAGCAGATAGCTGGCCCAAGGTTAGGCAGCTGTTGTTTGCTAGGATTTCAACCTCAGTCTTATCTTCTTGCTTCCCTTACTCTGTATTCTCCCTGTGTGATCTCATCCCTGAACTCTTTAAATTACACCAATATGCTCATGACTCCCAAGTCCATGGGCCACCTCTCTCTTCTGAGCACCATACTCTTGTATCTAACTTCTTCCTCATTCTTTCTCCAAATGTCTCAGTCACCTTAAATTCCCTATATTCAAAACTGGATTCTCCTTTCCTCCTCTAGGCTCCAAAACCTGCTTCTCTGTCCAGATTCTTCTGTCAGTGAAGGATATTCTCTCCCTTGGTTATCTGAGCCAGAAATCTTGGAGTCTTCCTCTGCTTTTGCCTCTCTGTACTCCTATCTGATCAATCACCAAGTGCTGTCCATCTTGCCTCTTAGCTATTTCTCAAATCCATCCCACCCTCTCCCCTGCCCCTAGCTTAATTTGGGGTGATGTTATTTTTTTCTTTTTTTAACTATTGCAACAGCCTCTTATGCCATCTTCAGCCTCTAGCCTTGCTCTCACGTGGGCTACATCTTTAACACTACTAGGAAGCTCTTTCTGAAACATGAATTTGATCATTTGTCACTACATTTTTTGTATCATGTGTTCTAATCATTTAGCCATTTCTTCGATTCAACAAGGCTACTTCCTTTTCTATCTCCCTGTGGCTGTACTCAGCCTACTTCCTTATAGTCTATAAAGGCATAAACTATCTATAGAATCAGGTTTTTTATTCCTGGAACCTTCCCCTGCTGGAAGTATAATAGAAGATCCCCAGGTAAACATCAGAGGTACCTTAGCTTGAGGCCACATCCTTGGTAGTTAACACCTTTATTTACCTGCAATGTTTACTACTGACTTCATTTCTCATCCCTGACTTCCCTGTCTCTTACTGCTGCTTGCTGAACCTTTGTCCTGTGACTCCCTCAGTTCCTCACTAGTTCTTCACCAATGACCCTTGGACTCTCAGTCATTTGTTGTTTTTGTCTTGTGCCTCTTTGCTATTTCAGCCCTTTTGCCTTAGGATGCGGATCTCTGACTTCCCCACTGAATGCCTTTCCCTGGCATGTATTAATTCACTGGTCCTTGGTCCCTAGCCTTTATTACTTAGAATTTGACTCTGGTCTCTCTGGGAATTTTTTTAGAGCATAACCGTCTTAGTCGCCAGTGGACTGTCAGGTGCCCCTGCATGACATAAAGTTCAGCTGTTCAGAACCTGACTGTCCAGATGGTGGTTGTCGTGGCTCCATACCTTTTCCCCCTGCCTTTCTGCTGCTGCCTTCCGGTTGGCCAGTTAACCACTCAGACGCTCTGCCAAATAGGAAGCCGGAAAAAATAAGTCCGTTGAAACTCAAACCTGCTCATTTGGCTTCTTACAAAGTATGGTGAAGGCTTGCTGAACAGTTAAATTTTATTATAATATACCTTAAATCCATCCAATTCTTCAAAGCTTACAGGCTTTACCATTTTTAAGAATCTGTATGTAGAAATGAAATCCATAGTCTTATTGTAGCTTTACCTTATATTATAACAACACTATTTGGGAAAGCTTTAGTCAACAACAAGAGAATGGGCACAGAAAGTACAGAATTGGTTCAGGGAGCCAAAAGAAGTTAGTGGATATTGCTAAATTTCAATTGCTTGTATAACCTTACATTCATAATACAGGTTCTTATCACATGTGGAGCCTCTTTCAGATCTGAGCTCTGTTGCGTACCTTTGATAAAAATTGAAATGACAACATTGTCTAACAACCAGAGCTGTTAAAAACACTCCCTTGGGGACTTTAGTTTTGTTTGATTTTGTCTGAAAGGGAGTTTAAACACGAGTGTAAGACAAAAGAGGTCATCAGCATTTTCTGTCCTTGGAGAGTAGAACATAAAAGCAATTTATGAAGTGCCTATAGAATGGAGATTGCAGAGATTCAGCTTCTCAGTAATCTAGAAGTTTTATCAAGCTTGCTTTCATACTGCCTCATTTTTTTAAAACCCAACTGCAGCCCACATAGACTGCAGGACTGATCATGTAGTTATTTTTAAATACCCTCTCATCTTTGTGGCCCGTACCTTGGGACTAATGATGAAGGTGACTTGAAGGTACCCCATACAATCCGGGAGAAACATTTGCCGTACTCACTGTACTTTGGCCACCCTCATTACAAGTTCATCACACAGCTTGTTTAACATGTTTACTTTTTAAACACTTGGAGAATTAACAGGTGGTTGCATGACTGAGATGTTTGTTTTAACAGGCTAAAAAGTGGGAGGTAATTTAGACATGAACTGTGATGCAATAGGAAAATACCTAATTATTCCATGTTTGGCTCAACTTTTAGTTTCAGTTAAAACTGCTGATAGCAAGGCTCAACAAGTTTTGTAGAATAGTACTCCTAACATTGCCTACATAGGAGAAACTGACATACTAGTAATAAGGGCCATGGTTTAGTTACAACCTTCTGTGTGGCTATAGTGCTACGACTTAGTAAAGGAGCTATTCTCAGAGCATCTGTCATCAGCAGTTACAGTGTGAATACAGAATGTTCTGAAAGCCCCATATCTAATTCAGCATGCTCTAGAAACCAACTTGGAATATTCTCTACTATATATAGGATGCACTGAAGGTAAAAAACCTATAGCTGCCTTTTGTCATAAGCTATATCATTTTGGGGAGGAAAGCGGAATATAAGTAAGTAAATAACACTATTTGTATTAGCCCCAAAAGAAACCAGTGAGGAAATAATGCCCTATTTTCTGACAACAAATTTATCAGATATAAATACAGTGAAGTTTTAGTTATAAATATTGAAAGTTATATGTATTAGTCCAGGTAACTGAAAACCATTGCCCTTCTTCCTCAGAGGCCATACAGCCCAGAGCTATATTTTCCAAAATCCAGAACAGGATAAACTATGGCCCATTGGCCTATCCAGCCTACCGCCTGTTTTTATAAATAAAGTTTTATTGAAACACAGCCACTCCCATTTATTTGTTATTATGTATAACTGCTTTCATGCTATAATAGCAGAGATGAGTAATTACAACAGAGACCATATGGCTTACAAATCCTAAAGTATTTACTGTCTGGCTCTTTGCAGAGAAAGCCACCCTTCATCTAGAATCTCTGCCCCTGACCATATCTACTTCTGACAGTAGTCCCTTAAGCCCAAACCAAATGAACAACCATCCAGCAAAATTCCTTGCTCCTACTTGTTCAATGAAGACCATACAAGAACCAATCATAACCTATATCCTGACACATTGGGATGAACAAACCAGGCATAATGACAATTAGCTGTCTTGTCCCTATAAGGGATTGTGGATCTGTATATCCAAGCATGGAAGTTTGACAAGGATAAATTGTGAAAAGTGGATAAAAATAAATTTCAAAACAGTGTACAGTCAGTCCACCCTCCATATCCATAGGTTCCACATCTGCAGATTCAACAAATTGTGGATTGAAAATATTCAGGAAAAAAAAAACAGTACGACAATTAAAAATAATACAAATGTAGACAATACAGTATAACAACTATTTACATAGCATTTACATTGTATTAGGTATTATAAGCAATTTAGAGACAATTTAAAGTATATGGGATGTGCATAGGTTATATGCAAATATTACACCATTTTATAGAAGGAACTTGAGCATCAGCAGATTTTGTTATCTGTGGGGGGTACCAAGGGATGATTGTATATAGAATGATATCTTTTCTTTGAAGATAGTAATAATTATCAATTGTGAGTGCATATGTATGCCTAGAAGATTTAGAACCATACATAAATTGTTCATGGTGGTTATGGGAGCTGGACAGATCACAGTGGGTGAGCAAACAAGCTGCTTTTAAAGTCAGCTGTAACAGAGAACTCCAGACTTCTTGCTTGTCACAGACACTGGGGAACACGGATGGAAAGGAACTCTGTAGCGTCTGGGTTCAGCTTGAGAAAAACACATCATTAGAAGTGAAAAGAGCCTTCCCTTTTCATAGCTATATATGAGGCATATATGTCAATAGTACAGATATCAATAATTAAATGCCTGTCTAACTCAGATACATTCCTTTATTAATTTAGCCAGTAGTTATTGGGTGCCTACTGCATGTAAAACACCATGCAAGGCACCTGGGCTATATAGCAGTGACAGAACAAAGGTATCCTCACAGCTGCATGCTCAAGCAGACCAGGAAGCCTGAGGAGGTGATCATTTAAATGGATGTGGTTCTGTGGAACAGCAGTTGGTATTACAATGAAATTGAAAGTGCCCTAAATGTGTACTGACTTTTCTTTCTTTTCACGGTTTCTTCCTCTTTTTAGTCTCTGAGTTATACATTTTTAAATAGAGATTTTGATGGTGATTAGTGTTTTAATGGCGAAACCTTCTAGGAAGAGTTTGCCTGGCTGCTCCTCGACAGTGACCCACATAAACTATCAAGTGACTTTGGTTTCTAATTGCATCCATGTGTCTCCTCAGCTTGCACAAAAGAAGACTCTGTAACTAAACAGTAGCTTTATATAGATAGATATAGATATTTTTGTCAGCTGTCAACTCAGTTGTGTTTTGTTTTTTTTTTCCGACAGAAAAAGCAAAGGACAAAAGATCTTTCTCGGGTATTTCATTCTTACAATCCATATGATCACAAGGTAAGAGAAACATGTTATTACTATATTAGGTATTATAAGTCTTTCTGAGTATACAGCACAATTTTCGCCAATATATGGTGATTCTGAAACATACCAATTACATTTTTACTTCAATTTTAATTTTTCAACTCTATCCCTCTTAAAGAAAACAGAAATTTTGTATTTCTGAACTAAAATAATTATATTTTATTCACATTAAAATCTAGTTACATATTAGCACTGAAATCTCAAGGACTGTGAAAAGACAGATTTTGGGGTGTTTTTTGTTTGGTTTCTTTTTGTTTTTTTCTTTCCAACCACTATAGTGGTTGGCTTTTGGATTGGTAAAGATAGTTGAAATATTGAGTGCCAAATCTTGGTTCTCCATTGCTCCTGAGAGAAAGTTATTTTTCTAAATAAAAATCCTGACAAAAATCAGTGCACAGCATTATATCTGAAATACCCACTGCCAAGAGTTTTGCTACACAGAAAACCAAATAGCATAACAACCGCATGTACCCATCCTACAGCTTTGTAGATTCGTAGCCAGTCTAGTTTCATTTATACCCCATAGTCTCGACCCTCCATATCTGAAGAATTCCCAGACATCTTTTAACTTCTAGGTATTTCACCACATATTTGTAAAAAATGAGGACTTTTTAAAAAAAAGAAAAATACCATACATAGCCATTTTTAAGAAAATGCTTAACACTACATCTTCATGGGGAAATATATTACAAGATTTCTGAGACTTGTACAAAACTTCTATGCCATGTAAGCTTCCAGTAAATCTGTTAATTCGAGGTGATTTCAGAAGCAAACAAAAAATTTACACAGTTGAAATGCTAATATAAACTTAAATCTTTATCTATGAATTTACAGGGAGACATGTGGTGGGGATTTTTTAACTAGCCAAAATAAGTAGTGTGAAAACTACTTTCCTCAGTTGAGAATACAAAGATGTCTGGATTCAGGAGGAAAAAATTGTGTTATTTCATAGAAGTTGAAAGAATTTGAATAGCTTCTAGTGTTTCTATAGTGACCAATTGACTTAAGCACCAAAAATTTGTAAAAGAGGTGTTTATGCTCCATGTGACCATGGTGATATACAATACTAAAAATTGTATCATTTCGAGTTACATTTTTCAAGCTAAATCAATCACTTTGCAAAATACAGCAATTTGTTTGAAAGAGATTGAGAGAGCCAGTAGTGTCTGACAATGCAGACAGAAGGTGCAGGCTGATAAGTAATATAACAGCAAAAGGAATGAGATTGGCCAGATTTCTGCTGGTAATGTTGCATTTTTTTAAGATGAAGTCATTTAATTAACATAAGTGCAATAGTGGTTAAAGTTAACATTTAACCACACACACGCACACACACACACACACACACACAAGGCTATGACAAATCAAAGGTTTTGCCTGCCTTGCCTAAATTTTGCCCACTTCTAACATTTTTTAATTCACAGTTAAGGGAAATTCCATTATTCTTTTATTAGAACTTTTAATGGAACCTAGCCATTTGCAGCTGTTACCGGCTTCCTCTTCATATCCTTTGTGGCATTGTATCAAAGTCACCTCAGATTATTTTGGCTTCCCTTCATTCCCCTACAAATTAGGCATCAGGCAATGAGGAATTGAATATAAATGCTAGATGGAGTTCCTTTTGATCTTTACTTTAGGATCGGTAATAAATTATTGTAAGTAGCTAGACTGCTTGATGAGTGCCTTTTGAAGCTCTTAAGATGTGGCCTGTTGGCATTCTGTTTTATTCTGTATGTGTGTAGTGAAGGAAGAGGGAAAAGTTTTGTTGTAGGCAGCTCCTGGCCCCCTTGTAGCCTCCTCCCATTTTTCTAAGCTCTATCCAGGCAAATCTAACCATATTACTTTTAAGCTTGTCTCTTGTTTATTGGAACATCCAGGAAGACTAGAAACATAAGGATAAAGTAACATGCACTGATTTCTCAATCTGAGAATGTTGCTTTTTCCCCCATAAATTAATAGATGGCTGTGTTTCAAGTTATTTTGTCATTTTAATAACCCAATTATATTCAAGCAAATTAGCTTTCTAGCCAGATAGGTTTTAGTGTAAAATGTTTTACAAGATGTGGTTAAAGTTGGTTTAAACATCTCATGCTCAAGGAGATTTCTGGAGTGATCCTTAGGAAAATATATATACAAATATTATAATGAAAGCTTATGTAAAATATAATATCCTCTGTCTGGGATTTGCCTTTTAAAAATTGAAAGAGAGGAGTGGATAGGGTACAGTAAAATAAAATTCACCATGTTTTGATGACTATCAAAACTGAATGATGGTTTTGTGGGGGGTTATTATTCTATTCTGCATATTTTTCTATATGATTGAAATTTTCCATAATAAAAAGATGCAGAAAGTAAAATAAACTATGGTCTGCTTCTGGGAGTGAATGTTGTGATATTCTTTTCCTCATTAGCCAAATTCCTTTTAGTGTTAATTTTTCCCTTGACATAAATTTATGCCAAAGAAAGGATACTCAGCATTTCAGTGGGTTCATTATGCTGAGTAAACTCAGAAACGCAACTCCTGCTCTAAGATTGGCATAATTTCCTGGGATTTCATCCCAAATTATAGTGGGTCACTTAAATGATAGCCTTGCCTACTAGAAACTGTTAAAACAGTTGTAATTACAAAGGGTAGGTAGGGCACCCATTTTGTTCTCAGTGAGTCAGTTATATTTGCTCTTCTTGCCACTCCCCCAACCAAGATTCCTGCGTGACCCCAGACACAGGAAAGTCACCAGGTTAAACAAACGTGTCCTTTGAGTGAGGCCAGGTGCATTTCTTAATCATACCCTAAAGCCATTGTTTAGGTTGTAAATGGTCAGTTGGTTTTCTCCTAAATGCTGTTGCAAAAAAAGCAAATAAAGCTCAGAGAAAAATGTGTACCCAGAATGAGTCTTAGGAAATACTTGATTTCTTACACTAAGAAATGTTGTTTGAAACTAGAATTTAATTTTGGACTGTTGTTTCTGATTCCATGTCCATTTTTTGAAAATTGTTTTTAGGAATTCTTATAATAAAAAAAGACTTGTATAAAAAGGCTTGGCCAAAGCTAATTCCTATTTATCTGTCCTAATAAAAGGAAATGTTAGTAAAGGTAATCCAAAGTAGCAGGTAATCTGGTTATATTTTATGCATTATATTCTTTTCTCTGTTATTTTAATAAACAGATAATAAACGTAGCTTATAGTTTCTGAAAACACACTGTACTAACTTCCATGAAAGGTTACAGGGCCACAGGCCTTCCAGGTCACAGAAAGTCAACCTGGAGTTGAAGTTTTCTTTTGGATAAGTCACAGGTAAGTTAGCGCAGGCTATGATTATAATAGAACACTTTTATGAAAGCCATGCAAATTAGCATGCACTCTGTGTCCTTGGCCTGAAGAAAATATTGCCATGCACATAAAAAATGTCTCTTTCTTTTTCATTCTCTCTTTCTTTTTTGTTAGATTTTATCAGAATTGTCTGTTTGGGGGAAATCTAGGTTTATTAGCTAAACACAGATGTTTATAATCTGCTAATGTAAAAAGTTAATATAAAAAACGAAAATGCTTAGAAGGAAAAAGTTAGGAAATTCTATTTGAGTCTGTAGTGATTTTTAACGTCTGCAAAATTGAGTAAATTCCTAAACACACTTAATCTGTTTGAATTAATGTATGCTCCACCATTAAAAGTGAGTCTTGAATGGGTAGTCACTATTACTGTTACTGTATTTTGTGAAGTGGGCTTCTCGTTTTCTTTTAGTGACTTATTAATAATTTTCCTACATATATAGAT